CCTCCAGAGCCACAGCCAGGTATATGAAACAGTTTTAAGACCCAGACTTGTATTTGCAAGCAGCTTATATTTATTTGAGCTGGGCTTTCTGCCTGGTAGTTGAATATGAAAGAATATCTTAGCTTTTTAGTATCAAAGATCAAAATCGTTTAAGACTCAAGAAGAGAGCCTTTCAGGACAAGGAAAAATAGAAGGTATCATGGTTATCCATTCATGCAGTAAACATTTACTGAGAGCCTATTGTGTGCCTAGCTGAGACATGGGGTTAGGGGGACAAAGTTGAACAAGACATGACCCTTGCCTTTGAGAGACTCACACCTGAACATGCAAACACACAACACAATATAATATAGTAAATGCTATGGGACATTTGAGGGAGCCCAAGAGAGTGGGTCACTTAGGTTTGGGGATGAGGGTGAGGAACTTCTGGGAAGAATCTGAAGACTGTTGAGTGATCAGAGAGATGAAATAAAAAATCAAGATGATGCTAAGGAAAGCTAGATCAAAATGGTATGAATTAAAAACAGCTCTGAATGCTATGACCTAGGCATGGGCCTATCTTGCCTGAGGTCACCAGAAAATGTGTTTAGGGAGGCTCCTTTAAACCTGAGATAGGTATAGGTGGAGCTTAAGGGCCCCTGCCCCTGGGTCTCAGCTGAGATGCCCATCAGCACTGTCCCGGTAGTGGTCACTGTGATGTGCCACGTAGATCGCCTTCCAGACAAAAGGACTTATTCCTCCAGATGCCAACACGTAGCCCTTAGCTGTCAGCCTCCTCCAGGTACTGCTTTGTCTCAAGAGACTGGCTGCACCCAAGGCCATGTTCCCTTCCCTTGGGCCCCAGTGCCTGACCCACCAAGAGTGTAAAGGCCCTCACCTCCAACTCAGGATAACCTGGGGCCCCTTTCATCTTCGAGTTTCTGGTTGGTTTGGGTAAGACCTTTTACTGAAACTGTATCACAGCACAATTTCTCTCTCTGTCCAATCCTGCTTCTGTTTATTCCCTTTCACAGGTGTCAATCCAAAAGCCCTCCCTAATAAATACCCTACATGCTAATCTCCATCTTAGAGTCTGCTTTACAGGGAACCGGCCACACTTCCAACCACTTCCCTTCGAACCACAAGCAAAATGCCAGAAAACCTAAGTATCTGGTGAACTGTCACAACCTATCATTGAGTTAACGAATGTATTACTCCACCATTTATGTACTCGTAGGTCATCACCCAAAGAGATTTTCAAAAATTCATGCTGATCTTCAGGGTTTAAACTACAGCTAAGCTAAAACTGAGAGTATGTTTTCTCTAAGTCTGAACATACAGAGATTCTGATTCGGATTTACACGTGGACACAAAAGGTCAACCGAGGCTGGCCAAGACACTCCCACTCCCCAGAATCTCTGAAGGATTTAATCTCTTGCTCTGGCAGCAAAAGATATCAAAATGGAATTTCTTGCTGGATGAAAGGTTGGGGGACCCTATAAAGCTGAAATCAAAATCAGACAAAATGAAGACTTTACTAAACTACCTGCAAATTTTAGCAAACAGATGCTGAAATGACATTTGTGCTGACGTGGTCCCAAGATATTACGCAGCTAGCAGAAATGTAGGGGACAGGCATGCTGTCTGACCCCGCTGGTAACTCTGCCTCCCAACTTCTGAGCACACACAGGGAATTGCAGAGTCCTTTCTTTTTCTCTCACTCTCTTATCTCCTCTGCTCTTCCTTTTCTCCAAAGCAGAGGCTTAAGGAAACTGAAAGACCTAGATGCCATTCTATCCTCATCCCTTATTAGTTATGTGAGCTTGAAGAAGTTATTAACCTGAGTCTCATTTTCCTTACCTGCAAAAAGGGAGGTAAAAAAATTCTTTGGTGCTGTTGGCAGGAATGAAAACATTAACTCCACTGGCAGAGGCATGCAAAGCATGTCATAGCACCGTGCTTCACACTAACACGAACTAGTAGTGGTTCTCACCTTAGCTGCGCAGTGGAACGAACTGGGGACCTTCAAAAATACTGAAGCTGGGAAAGCATCCCCAGAGAGTCTGATATAATTGGTTGGGGATGCTGAAGCATCAAAAACGTGTAAAGCTCTCTCCAGGTGATTCTACAATGCAGCCAAGGTTGAGAACTACTGCTCTCTGCAGATACTTTTACTGAAGCCACATAACTACCCCACGGGTTTAGTACAATTATCTGTCCTCCCCTCATTTTTACAAACAAGGAAATTGAGGTTTAGAAAGGTTAGAAGATTGCTCACGCGTATGAAACTATTAAGGGGCAAAGCTGAGAGTTAAATTCACACAGTATGACTCCAAAGACCTTACCCATCATCAGCACGTTGCTGTCCTATCATCCCACCTACTAAATGTAAAGAACCTTCTTCCAGCATGAATTGAGCATGCAGAGGATACTCCAAAATTGGTAGCTTATTCGTTCTTTGCTTTTTAGCTTTCCTCTTCTCCATTCTCTGCTTTTCACAATCCACAACCTGAAATATTGCTTGCAGTTCACTAGGAGTGAGGGATGGATAAGATTTAGAAGCAGAGTCAAGAAGGACCTAGGAAAAACTATTCTTTTTCCTTCTCCTCCCCCTCCTAAAACCAGGCTGTGAGCATACACTTGATTTCTGCTTAAAATCTTTTGAGATAACTATTAGAGATACTATATTGGATATATCAGAAAGCCAAAAAGAAATTTTTCTACCATCACTTCTCAAATTTACGTCAATGTTTCCTGTGCCTATGTCAACTTCTAGGTCTTGTTCATGAGCACATATGGTTTTTACAATCACAAAATCATAATTATATATTCAGATTTGTCTACTCACATTATGCCATGCATATTTTTCCAGACTGTTTTTAAGCCAATTAAGCCGCCTAGTACAGCTCTGCAAATAATGAAGATAATTTACTTTATAATTGGGCCCAAGATATTTTCATTACAAGTTTTCCTCTTACCAGAAAAAAAGAAGTTTAGCCTTATTACTCTGAAAACTGATATAAAAATCTGTAGCCATGTAAAAGTCACAGGACATGACATCTGCCTTCCTTTATTTGCTGTGCACTGCTCAGTCCCCACATCCCTCACTGCCATGCTTGGCACCAAAGTAAGAGCTCAAAAAGTGCATGATGCATGAACAAATTACACTTTTCTTGGCCGAACAGTAAATTTGTAAAATCAGACTTCTTAGGAGATTCCGAAGTTAAGCCTGAGAACTGAGCAGGGTGAACAGGAGCGAAGTGGGCAGGAAAGCAGCCGGAAACCCCATGGTAAAGGCCAGCTATGTTAGCCAGGAGGAAACATGTGGTTTCCTGAATTGTACCCATGCAAGGCCATCAACATTTGAGGCATGACATATATAAACACTATCAAGGATCACAGCTCTCCCTTCAGTCACTCTTTGGAGTTGTTTCTAAAAAGTTGCTTACATTTGTGGGCTCCTCTCTCCTGCACGAATCTTAGAAGGGGTACAGAGGTGAAGGCAGCTGTAACAGAACAACAAGGCTGCAAAGAATTGGAGTAGGTATGCTTCAGAGAACACTCTGGGACAACGTCCTTAGAGGAGGTTTTTAAGCTAGTCCATTGGACCTCCTCTGGGCACCACAGTGGGACTTCAGGAAACTGGTAACACAGCATAATTAGAGTAAATTGTGAGTGTTTGTGTTTGTATGTATGTGTGTGTGTGTGTGTCTGTTTGTCTGAAAAGGAGACCTCAGATGTCATCAGATTTTGTGTCTTGGTTTTAGAGCCTGCTCCTTCTTCCACTTCATCAACTCAAGTGATGCTCCTCTAAACCCTTCATTCTTCATTAAGGGCTGGAGGTGGGGATGAGTGGGAGAAGATGGATGACAAGGGAACTCACCCTGTGGGAGGTCAGCATAAATCCCATATCCCATTTGCAAGGAGATTTACTAAGAGAGATTGAGTAAACTAAACCAGGGCCACAGCTATCCAATTCCAGAACTATCCAATTGCAAAGACTGGACTCTTCACCTCTATTCCATGGCCTGAATTTCTGGCCACACTTTCAGTCTGGAGGCAGCTTCTCTGGCTTTCATATCGAAAACTCAAGAGTCTTGCTCTCTCCCCCGAGTCTATCCATCCAAACAGGCACTGAGCCCAAGAATGAGCTTCTTGAAGCCAAGCATAATCTATTTGCTGGTGTAATATGGTCCCAATAATCAATCCCACTCAAATTCCACACTCAAAGCCAGTTGCTCTCCTAGCTTATCAAGGGTTATAGAAAGAAATCACACTTACCAGCGTGAACTCCCTTGCCTCTATGATGCAGGCAAGTTAAAGGCCAGAAGGGAACCAATGTTTTCTAGTAGTCACAAAACAGAGAAAGCTCTAAATCAAGTCTACTGTTTTCTGGTTTCAAAATCCATGCTAAAAACTGCAGTTAAATTTTCTGCTACTAAAACAGGTGAAAATCCTGACAATTGCATTGTACCGAGCACTTCCTAGGTGTCTGCCCTTTACAAATGTGATCCCTGCACCTCAGAAGAGCCAAGCAGGCTGGCTAGAGGTTACTTCGTGAGAAGTTAAGCAAGGCCCTCAGGCTCACAAAAGCAGTGAGTGGAAGGCCGAATCAGAACTCGAACCCACGTCTATACGATAACAGCATTAGTGCTCTTAACCATACTCCTCCCACCGTCTACACACAACCACTGTGATTCATGGTACCCAAGGCTAGCATCTCTTCTTGGTTTTTCCTGGAGCCACTTCCCTGAAATCTAGCCAACCTCTCCAGAGGAGAAGGTATGGAAGCAAGACCGATGGACTCTATAAATACAAGATCCCGGTTCCAGGTCCACTTCTGCCACTTACTGGCTCTGTCACCTTGGGCAAAGACAGCTTAACAACCCGAGGTCTCACTTTCCTCACCTATACAATAAAGATCATTGTTCAACTTGCAAGGACCTGCAAGACGCCGCGCGCTAAGGCTTAAGTATTATGCAAATGTGAGTTACCTTTACCCCTCCTTACCGCACGAATTCAGAAACCAGTGGTTTTTCTCAGCCTCCCCTCCGCGCGTCTCCCAAGAGTTCGCCACCACGTGCTCCTCACGCCCCTCTCTTCCCTAGTGGCTGCGGCTTAATCTCCCGTCCACTTCAGCAGTTCCCTTGCCTCGTAGGAAGGACAGGCCTCGGGTGCTCAGGCTCTGGCTACGTTTCTTTCTTTCCGACTGTGGGCGCGAGGGCTCGACCCTCCCAGCGCGGAGATCTTTGCGCGGCTGCTGGGGGCTCCGCAATGGCAGCGCGGGGTGGGCACTCGGCCGCGCGGCCCGCCCCGAGAGGCGGGGTGTGACCCGAGAGTTTAGAAGGAGGCGCCTGCCGTGCTTAACACCCCTATGCCCGCGGAGCTGCCTCTGCGGCGCAGCCTCTCGTCCGGAGCCGCCGGGGGTTCCCATACGCAGACGCCTGGGCCCTGGCCCTCCCGCAGCCCCGCTCCTGCCCGCTGCGCCGCCCGCCATGCGGCCGCCGCTCTCCCGCTGCCACAACACCACCTCCGTGGAGAAGGGCAACTCGGCGACGATGGGCGGGGTGCTCTTCAGCGCCGGCCTCCTGGGCAACCTGCTGGCCCTGGGGCTGCTGGCGCGCTCGGGGCTGGGGTCGTGCCCGCCGCGCCCGCCGCCCTCGGTCTTCTACGTGCTGGTGTGCGGCCTGACGGTCACAGACTTGCTGGGCAAATCCCTCGTGAGCCCCTTCGTGCTGGCCGCCTACGCGCAGAACCGGAGCCTGTGGGGACTGGCGCCCACGTCGGGCAGCTCGCTGTGCCAAGCCTTCGCCTTCTTCATGTCCTTCTTTGGGCTCGCCTCGACGTTGCAGCTCCTGGCCATGGCCCTGGAGTGCTGGCTGTCCTTGGGGCACCCCTTTTTCTACCGACGGCACATCACCCTGCGCCGCGGCGCGCTCGTGGCGCCGGTCGTGGGCGCCTTCTGCCTGGCTTTCTGCGCGCTGCCCTTCGCGGGCTTCGGGAAGTTCGTGCAGTACTGCCCCGGCACCTGGTGCTTCATCCAGATGGTGCACGAGGAGCGCTCGTTGTTGGTGCTGGGCTACTCAGTGCTCTACGCCAGCCTCATGGCGCTGCTGGTCCTCGCCATCGTGCTGTGCAACTTGAGCGCCATGCGCAACCTCTACGTGATGCACCGGCGGCTCCCGCGGCGCCAAGTCTCCGGCACTCGCGACCGCGCGGAGCCTGGCGCCGACGAGAGGGAGGCGGCCGCGCAGCCCCTGGAGGAGCTGGACCATCTGCTGCTGCTGGCCCTCATGACCGTGCTCTTCACCATGTGCTCCCTGCCTTTAATAGTGAGTCCCTTCGTGCTGAGGCATCTGGGGGCACTGGAGCCCGGCCGGCGGCGGGTGCGGGAGGGAAGGGTGGAGCGTGCTGGACGCCGCGCAGGAGGAGCTGCGCCCTGGGTCAGGACGGTTTGTCGTGGAGCTCCCCACATCTGGTTACCTCCACAGCCCCGAGGACTTGGAACCGAGTTTGTTGAGCCCGAACAAGGAAGGGAGAGACCGAGTCTGATGGTGTCTTCCTAGCCCCGCAAAACCTCTCCGGTTAGCAGCATCCCCTCATCTCTCTTCCCTCTGGGAAGATCTCGGGGTTGTTTTGAGGAGCAGAATTTTGTTCCTCCTTGGCAGTACGAGTCCTTTCTTTCCCGGTGGCTAGGTAACGTTTTATTTCTTAGACCTGCCGATGATTTTAATGGCATCAGATACGGGCTAATGCACCTGGTCGTTTTTCCCCAGGTGCTGGCGTGGGAAGAGAGTAAGGGAAGGTGTACTCATGCCAGGGTGATTTGCACAGGTGAGAGACTAAAGGTAGATTAGTTTTTAAAAACTCGTAGGGAAACTTGGAGGCGTGGCGGCTGCTGTTCTTGGTGCTGCGGCCGCGGAGGATGGTGGCGACAGAGGCGGAGAGGCTGTCTGGATAGGCAGGGGTGTAGGTACGGTTCAGCCAGTGGTGTTGTTTGGATAACCTGCCTTGACAGGTCTTGTGTCTGTCTCGGCAAGCGGGGTGACACGGAAGTCATTATCCCGGGTTTCAGTTTACTAATGGCGGTGGTGGTGGAAATGGAATTAATCAGTCGTTTTGAAGGTATTTCCCCCTGGGATCCCGGCCAAGACTTCTGGCAGCGGCTGATGCTGAGAAGACTTTCTGAGGGTTGCTCCTCTCCCCCAGGCCCAGTGTACTTGTTCAACACGAACAACATTTAAATCAATTCACTGCCAATTCAGTGCCTTTGAACCCTGAGACTTCTGTGAATAGGAATGTTAAGTTTCTTATGGCAATGCAGCAATTTTGGATGTTACTTTCAAGATTGCATAGAGGTGAAATATAATGTGATTGTCCTTAAACGAAGGCCTTAATGTGTGGGAAAAGAGTTGTCTGTGGCATCATCATGCAGGGTTAAGATCAGAATTCCCAAAAAATGAATAAATAAATCTATATGAATAGAGAAGATATGGGCATAGATATTTAGCAGTGGTTCTCAAACTTTAGCCTGCTGGGAATCACCAGCAGGGCTCTTAAAAACACAGATGGCTGTCCCCACCCATCCCCCGAGTTTCTGGTTCAGATGTTTTTGAAGAATTTTATTCTTAACAAGTTCCCAGGTAAGGTGAAAGCTGCTCATCCAGGGATCCCATCTGGGAGAACCACACTCTAAGGCAGGAGTTGGCAAACCACAGCCCACAGTCCAAATCCATCCTGCTGTTGTTTTTGTACAGTGGGTGGAATTAAGAAGAGTTTTTGCAAATGAACCGATTTTGAAATCAATTTGATGATAGTGCACAGGAACTCTAAACTCCAACTAGCTCAAATACTATTCCAAGAAAAAAAAAAGACTTCGATTTTTCTCCATAGTAGACATGAATTACCCCCCCAAAGTACTTAATTATTATTACATTTTAAATTTCACCAATGAAAGTTGTGAAAATGTGTTTTCTCTCTTGTTATAAAAGTACCTACCAAACACTCATCATTTGCCTCTTGATCTATAAAACTTAAAATATTTACTCTTGAGCTCTTTACAGAGAATGTTTGCAGACCCCTGCTCTAAACTCATAGCCTTACTTACCTATGCTGTGGAAAAGCAGACAGTAGACAAATGCATGGATGTTATGTCCTCAGTTTGAATGTCTTAGGAATAATAATGCAGAAAAGAGCATAATAGAGTATAATACGAGAGCATTGCATTTGGACATGTCTCTCAGGGGACTTGAATAACTGACTTATAGGGGATTGTGAGGATGGAAGGAAATAATGGATTTGAAAATGATTTTATAAAAAACTGTAATGTTCCAAGGATATGCAACTCAGACAGCATTCTTCACAGGAACTAAAACTTTCTAGAAAGGATAAGGGCTTTAGCATAATACATGGGTTTGAATTAGCCTTTATCACTTACTAGCTGTGATAGTGGCTTATTTATCTTTTCTAACTTCAGTTTTCTTTTCTTTATTTTTTTAAAAGATTTTGTTTATTTATTTGACAAAGAGAGAGAGACAGCGAGAGAGGGAACACAAGCAGGGGGAGTGGGAGAGGGAGAAGCAGGCTCCCTGCCAAGCAGGGAGCCTGACACCAGGCTGGATCCCAGGGGATCAGGACCTGAGCCAAAGGCAGTCACTTAAAAACTGAGCCACCCAGGTGCCCCTAACCTCAGTTCTCTTATCTGTAACAAGGATAACCATACTTGCCCTATAAGATAGTTATGAAGATTTGATATATATAAAGCCCCTAGCCAGGTGCCTGGCATCAAAAATCAGTACTATTATTCCTAATTATAATTTCCATTTATTATTATTGCCTGCTGGATATAGAAAATTAACCAAGAAATATGATCTCCTCAGGAAATAGCATTATTTTCTTTTTAAAAAAATTTTTTAAATTTAAACTCCAGTTAGTTAACATACAGTGTAATATTAGTTTTTGGTGTACAATATAGCGATTCAACACTTCCAGACATCACCCAGTGAGCATTATTTTGTAATGCAGTGGTTTTCTAACATTTTTTGGTCTAAGAACCCCTTTTCACTCTTAAAAATTATTAAGGATGCAAAGAACTTTTATTTTTGTAGATTATATCTATCAGTATTATCATATTAGAAATTTAAAATAAGAGAAATTTTAAACATTATTGCAAAACAATTTAACAAAATGTACTTCTTGTGTTTTCGCATAGGTGTAAGGAAAACTTTGGGCTTTCACAATGAGTTAATGAATGATAATACAATTATAGAGATTATAGCAGGTAAAACAGAAAAAAGCATGTTAAGAGCACAGGCAGGAGGGTGCCTGGACGTGGGGATCCTACACCACCGGTGAGTGACAGCCTCGCGCGCTGCGGACGGGGCACAGACTCGCAGACCGATAGCCTGGGAAAAGAACTTTAGGGCAGCACCGGGGTGGAAAACCAGACCGGTGGGGTCGCGCGCACGTGAACTGCAGCCCCCCAGACAGAAACCGGAGCGACGGTCGCGCGCACGCGATCTGCAGCCTCTGAGATGGACACCCGATGCGCCGGGGTCGTGCGGGTGAACTGCAACCCCCAGGGGTGGAAACCCCAAGCAGCAGAGTCGGGCACGCGGGAATTGGGAGCAGCTGGCGGTTTTAGAAGCACAAAGGGCAGAGATGTTCCCCGACCTGGAGGCAGGACTGGGAGCGCTGCGGAGGGGCGCACAACCCAGGACGCTGCAGTTTATAGCAGCACGGACAGAAACGGAGACAGTGTGGCCTGGAGAGCTCACTGAAGAACAGATTGAGGTCTCTCTGCCCTGAGGCAGAGGGTTGGAAATGGTCTCTTCTGCTCTGACTCGCGGAGGAGACGTGGAAAGCTGCCAGGGAAAGGCGCCAGAGGACAAAAGCCCCAAAGACTGATTCCCACTGAGCCCATCCCCCACCACAGGGGTGCAGGGCAACTCCGCCCAAACAGGGTTGCCTGAGTAACAGCGCAGAAGGCCCCTCCTGCAGAAGACAGGCTGGGAAAATGAGAGGCCAGCAACCCTAAGGTCCCAAGAAAACAGGTGCATCTTGCTTGGGTTCTGGTCAATAATTCTGACTCTATACATTCCCTCAAACACCCATCAACAGAATGACTAGGAGGAGGAGCCCCCAAAATAGAAAAGACTCAGAGATTATGACTTATGCTGCCGATTTACAAATGGATGCAGATATAACCAAGATGTCAGAGATGGCATTCAGGCTAGCAATTGTGAAGACAATGGCTAGAATGGAGAAATCAATTAATGGCAACATAGAGTCTCTAAGGGCAGAAATGAAAGCTGAATTGGCAGAACTTAAAAATGCTATCAATGAGATCCAATCCAATCTAGATAATCTAACAGCTAGGGTAACTGAGACAGAAGAGAGAATAAGCGATCTGGAAGACAGTATAATAGATAAAAAGGGAAAAGAGGAGGCCAGGGAAAAACAACTCAGAATCCATGAAAATAGAATCAGAGAAATAAGTGACACCATGAGACATTCCAATGTCAATAATTGGAATCCCGGAGGGAGTGGAGAGAGAGAGGGCTAGAAAATGTATTTGAGCAAATCGTAGCTGAGAACTTCCCTAAGCTGGGGAATGAAACAAACATTCGAGTCCTAGAGGCAGAGAGGACCCCTCCCAAGATCAAGGAAAACAGGCCAATACCCCGGCATGTAATAGTAAAACTTGCAAATCTTAGAACCAAGGAAACCATCTTAAGGGCAGTTAGGGGGAAGAGATTCCTTACGTACAGAGGGAGGAACATCAGAATAACGTCAGACCTATCTACAGACACCTGGCAAGCCAGAAAGGCCTGGCAAGACATATTCAGGGTGCTAAATGAGAAGAACATGCAGCCAAGAATACTTTATCCGGCAAGGCTTTCATTTAGAATGGATGGAGAGATGCAGAGCTTCCATGACCGGCAGAAGTTGAAAGAATATGTGACCACTAAGCTGGCCCTGCACAAAATATCAAGAGGGATCCTATAAAGGAGAAAGACCCCAAGAGTGATCTACAACAGAAATATACAGGGACAATCTATAAAAACAATGTCTTCACAGAAAACATGATGACAATTAATTCATATCTTTCAATAATCACTCTCAACGTGAATGGCCTAAACGCTCCCATAAAACGGCACAGGGTTGCAGATTGGATAAAAAGACAGGACCCATCCATATGCTGTCTACAAGAGACTCATTTTGAACCTAAAGATACATCCAGACTGAAAGTGAAGGGATGGAGATCTATCTTCCATGCCAGCGGACCTCAAAAGAAAGCTGGGGTAGCAATTCTTATATCAGACAAATTAGA